ATATATAAATGTAGCTGCCCTTTCAGGCTGCTTTTTGTTTTCTCACTTTGATAGAGTCATGGATACAGAGAAATATTTCTCTTCCACAGGAGAAGGAGCAGAGACAAGAGTGATAAGTGAGGAGTGATTGCAGTGCAGAATAATGTGGACAAAGGGAGGCAAGGAGACTTTTGGGACCCAAAAAGTATAAGGCTAATAGGCTCTACGTGTTGCCAGGTATCAACAAAGAGCCAAATATTCCCATTTTTTTCCAAAAGAATTTAGTTATTCAAGTTTTTAAGAGGTCTTCCATAATTTTAAGTGTTGATTCACAATTCACAACACTATAAGCCAAGCAAAGAATATCTACTCAACCAGTCCAACCCTTGGGCTCCCAATAAGGGAAACAAAGTTCGGATGTTGATACTAAATTATGAGAAACACACTGCTAAGCTTGTATATCCCTCAGGCTATCTCTGGGTTTCTTATGTTGCCTGACTCAACCATTGGCAGTCCCTTGCTACAGCTGAACTCATAATGGTGGAATTAGCTACCGAACACCACGTGATTGCTGGCTAAACAAATAGCTACTGCAAAAGCTCTCTTCTCCATCTTGGACGTGCTGCATTGTATAACATTGCTTCTGGGCTTTTCTGCTCCAGATAAGAACATTATAGTAAGAACTCATAGGTCACAGTCCCATAGAAAGCATTTCCCAGTGGGGAATGCTTCACAGACTTAGTGCTCCTAAATTCAAATGTCGCATGGTTTGTGCAGTAGGTAAATTGTATGAAATCATTATTCCCTTTTGTTTTGGAAGATTCTAGGGAAAATGTCACATGTAATTGTACCAAACTCAGGGTTTTTGTTGTTTTCTGAGTGGTTAGCTTTGCAGTTTAGGGAGTGTTGTTGTTGTTGTTTCTGCTTTTGTTTTGCTTTAGCTTTTTCTTTTTTTCCCTTAGTGTTCTTGAATGCTAGGCAAGTGCTGTACCATGACATGAGGCTTCATCCCCAGCCCTTAAAGTCAAGTTGAAACTTTGCAAAATCTGTTAGATTTTTGCACTTGAAATTTTGTGTTTGTGAGTTAGGGCTCTAAAGTCCCTGAAAGCTTAGTTCTCCTTGTCCTGAATTGAAATTCCAGTCTTTCCAAACATCCCTGGTGTGTAGTAGCATTCCAGAAGCTGCTAGGGAGAAGCTGGGAGAAAGACTAATGGCTACATTTGTACTCAAGTATCTATTTTTTTAAACAAGAAAAATGTGTCTGTGCCAACACAGCACACAATAAAACGGGATTTTGGCACCAGTTTTTATTGATTTGGTCAGGATCGTAAGCCAAACTAGATATTTCATGCCAGAAATATGAGTTGGTTTGGATGGATTAGCATGGTGTAAATGCACTGGATAATAATTAAACACCATATCTGGTTGTGCTGTGTGGACATAACTATTGTCTCTTCTTTAGTTCTGATTTTCCTAGAAAACTAGAGCCTTTTCTCTTCTAAATATGCATTTCCCACAATAACTTACCCAGAAGAAACTTTTGGTGTTCCCTAGTCTTCTGGAAGGGGGGAGTTTTTAGCAACCTGAGCGGAATAAGGTATACAGTTGGTAAAAGAAGTAAGAGAGAAGGATCAACAGTTACAGAAAAAGTGGGGTCAGAGATTTAGCTCAGTAGCACAGCACCTGCCTCGCAAGTGCAAGATCCTGAGTTTGATTCCCGGTACCAAAAAAAAAAAAAAAAAAAAAAAAAAA